TGGAGGGAACTGATGGCTTCAGATCAGCTATTCAGGGGTACCCACAGAAGCCCAATTCAGGTTCCAGTCAGGTACACTCAGGCTTCCTTCACTAGGTGGTTGCAGGATCCAGGGTCTCTCAGGCAGTCCTGTGCGTTGTCAACCCTATGTCATAGGGAGGCCAGAAGGGGGCCAGAACTCGGCACTCTCTGGCAGTCTGCTTAGATCCTAGCCTTAGCCTACTAAAGGCAGATCTGCCCTGGGGCCTTGGGAGGGGCCTCACAAAATCCCAGGTAGGGGGATGGTATGGTGCCATTAGGGGAAGCTCACCACCACGTGGAGGCAGGATCCGGGGGCTGTCAGGCTGTCCCCTGGGTTCTCAGTCCTTCTGGAAGTTGAAGGCCCAGGGGAGGCCAGAACTCCACACTCTGGCAGTCTGCTAAGCTCCTAGCCGCTACCCCAATGGAGGTCCGAACCCACCCTCTCAGGCTGTCTACTAGGATCTCAGCCTTAGCCTACCTCAAACCATTCTTTTATAAAGGACCCATTATAGCCAGGCTTGGTGATGCCTGTCTGTAAACCCAGCAGTTTAGGGAGGTGGAGGCATAAGGAACAGGAGTTTAAAGTCATGTTTGGCTGCGTAGCAAATTCTAGGCCAACCTAGGACACATGAGACACTGTCTCAATGAAAGAGAGAGGGCATAGGTTTTGCTACCTTTAGAAACAGCAGGAGGTGACTCAGTCAGTATAAGCACTTTCTGTGCAAGCCTGACAACCTGAGTTTGATCCCTGGAACCCACACAATGGAAGAAGTCCCTGGAACCCACATAGTGGAAGAAGTGAACTGACTCCCACAAGCTGTCCTCTGACCACCACATGCCATACACACACTCACGCACACACTCACGCACGCACACAAATAAATAAATAAAGCAATGAACTTATTAAAAAGAAGAAAAGTTTATTTAGCTCACAGTTTTGAGGGTAAAGTCTGTCTGGAACCAGGCAGTTCCATTTGCTCAGTAATGAGCTCATGGTGAGTAGAATCCCAGGGTCAAGAGGAAAAGAGAGAGATCCCATGGTGCTTTGGTTTGGATATGGTTTAAACATTTGTGTGTTGGAAGCTTGGTGCCTGGGGGTGCGGAATGATATGAGAGGGCCTTTTAGGAGTGAGGCCTAGTGGGAGCTGCCCTTGGAAGGGATTAAGATAGTGCTCATGAAATTCTTGAGTTCATCCTCACAAGAGGGTTGTTATAAGTGTGAGCATGGAGCTGGAGAGATAGCTCCCTGGTTAAGAGCACTGACTGCTCTTTAAAGGACCTGAGCTTGGTTCCCAGCACCCACATGGCAGCTAACAATCATCTGTAATTCCAGTTCCAGGGGATCCAATGCCCTCTTCTGGCCTCTACAGGCATGACATTTATTACATCAATGTAGGTTTCCACCTCTTAAAGGTCCCACTACCTCCACAGCACCTCCTCAATGACGAAGGCTCTGGTCCCTTTGCAAGAGACAGAACTGCAAAAGATCTCCCTGGTCACTCTGACCTAGTCAGTCCTGGCCCAGCATTCCCATAGACTTCCATTTATACCTAGGCATACTTCAACAGGGCTGTTGACATGCTGAAGAGCTGTCAAACGAGAAACTTAAATATATAGATTTCTTGGCTTATCTTCTCCTTATAGCACTAGATAGACAAGTGCTTGGTGGAGTTGAGTTAATGAAAAGGCCAAGCATGGTGCCTAGTACCTGTAATCCCAGCACTTGGGAGGGAGACAGGAATATCAGAAGCTCAGGGTCATCTTCAGCTACATAGAGCATTCTAGGCCCACATGAGCTATGAGACACTGTCTCAAAAAGAAAAACTGAACTAAACAAATGAAAGTATGAATGAGTATGCATCAAAACAGATTTGTTCTTTATAAATTCATTACTTGGGTCTGAACAGATAGCTCAGTGTTTAAGAGCACTGGCTGTTCTTGCAGAGGACCTGGGTTCAGTTCTCAGCATGCACATGGCAGCTAACAACTGTCTGTAACTCCAGTTCTAGGAGATCCAGCACCTTCTTCTGCCCTACACAGGCATTGCACGACATGGTACAGTTACATACTTGTAAGCAAAACACTCATACACATAAAAAATAAAAATAATAAAGTATTTAAAAAATAAATTCATAACACTTTTAACAATGCTTTCCCTCTGTGTGTTTCTACCCGCCAATCCTGTGTTTCTATTGTACGAAGATTTCCGATATTGAGAGCCGGATTTCAGCCCTGACTGTTGCAGGCTTAAACATAGCTCCCTGCGTGCGTCTCACAAGAAGACGGGATCAGAAGCAAAGGAACCAGGTGTGTCTGTCTCTCTCTATCCATGTTGGAACACTGCATGATGACCAGGAAAGTTCCAGGTGTACAGTATCTACAGAGCTGTGCTGATGACTGTGTTATTTGTAGGTACAAACTATAGATACATCAAGGCAACAGAGGAGGAAACTGCCCGCTCCACCCGTGCAAGGTCTGTTTCAGTTAAAACACAAGCCTGAATCCCTGACCTAGAAAATGCAGAGACCTGAGTGTGAGGACCAGATCCAATGTGTTTGCCCAAGGATTGTTCTAATCTATCTTACTTGAGAATGTATGAAATGGCTTGTGTGGAAATTTGAGGGTGATGGTGTGAGTTAGTGTGCCTTTGTGAGTATGAGTGTGTGGGTTTGAAGATGTGAGGATGTGAGTGTGCATTCATGAGTTAGTGTATGCATGTATGATATATGAGAGAGTGTGAGGAATTGGGGCTGTGTGGTTGAGTGTGTATTTGCAGGTATAAAAGGTTGTGTGTCTGAGAGACAGTATGAGGTGAGTGTATGTGGCTCTGTGAATGTGTGAAGTTGTGTGTGAATTCATATGTATGTCCCTATGTGTGTACATGTATGAGTGTGTGGCTGTGTGAGTGTAGATGTGTGAGGATGTGTGGCATTGTCTTTGTGTGTGTGACAGAGTATGCATGTGGGGTTGTGTTTGTGAAAGTGTATATTGGTGTGGGTTACACATGTATGAGTGTGTATGAGAATGTGAATGTGTGCATGTATGAGTGCATGAGGATGTGTACGAGGGTGTGTGTCCTGGTTTGTTTCTTCATTGCTGTGACAAAACACTCTGACTACTACCAACTTGGGAAGGAAAGAGTTTATTTATCTTACATCTCCTGGGTCACAGTTCATCAGGGAGCCCAAGGTAGGAACTCATGGCAGGAACCTGGAGGCAGGAGCTGGAGCACAGGCCATGGAGGAACGCTGCTTACTGGCTTGCTCCCCTGGCCCCTGCTCAGCCTGCTTTCTTATGCAACACAGGCCCACCTGCCCAGGGGTGGCACCACCCACAGTGGGCTGGGCCCTCCCACATCACTCATCAAGAAGATGCCCTTCAGACATGGCCACAGGCCAGTCCAATAGAGGCAATTTCCCGATTGAGACTCCCTCAACCCAGGTGTGTCAAGTTGAAGTGGATGAAGATGTGTGTACATGTAAGGGTATGAGGGTATATGTGCATGCATGAGTGTATGAGAGTGTGAGTGTGTGCATGTATGAGAATATATAAGGGTATGTGTGCATGCATGAGGGTATGAGGGTGTGTGTGCATGCATAAATGTATGAGGGCATGAATGAGTGCATGCATGAGTGTATGAGGGCATGAGTGAGTGCATGCATGAGTGTATGAGGGCGTGAGTGAGTGCATGCATGAGTGTATGAGGGCGTGAGTGAGTGCATGCATGAGTGTATGAGGGCATGAATGAGTGCATGCATGAGTGTATGAGGGTGTTAGTGAGTGCATGCATGAGTGTATTGAGGGCGTGAGTGAGTGCATGCATGAGTGTATGAGGGCGTGAGTGAGTGCATGCATGAGTGTATGAGGGCGTGAGTGAGTGCATGCATGAGTGTATGAGGGCGTGAGTGAGTGCATGCATGAGTGTATGAGGGCGTGAGTGAGTGCATGCATGAGTGTATGAGGGCGTGAGTGAGTGCATGCATGAGTGTATGAGGGCGTGAGTGAGTGCATGCATGAGTGTATGAGGGCGTGAGTGAGTGCATGCATGAGTGTATGAGGGCGTGAGTGAGTGCATGCATGAGTGTATGAGGGCGTGAGTGAGTGCATGCATGAGTGTATGAGGGCGTGAGTGAGTGCATGCATGAGTGTATGAGGGCGTGAGTGAGTGCATGCATGAGTGTATGAGGGCGTGAGTGAGTGCATGCATGAGTGTATGAGGGCATGAATGAGTGCATGCATGAGTGTATGAGGGCGTGAGTGAGTGCATGCATGAGTGTATGAGGGCATGAATGAGTGCATGCATGAGTGTATGAGGGTGTGAGTGAGTGCGTGCATGAGTGTATGAGGGTGTGTGTCTGAGTATGAGGATGAATATAATGTCTAACTGTGTGCATGTGTGACAGTATGTGCATGAGTGTGTATATGATGGCGTGAATGTTACCGTGTATGTTAGTGTGTGCGTGAATATGAGTCTGTGCATGTGTCAGTGTGTTAGTGTGTGAATGGGTGGGTGAATGTGGGGTGAGATAAGTGTGTGTGCATTTGTGAGTGTGATTGTGTTGGTTTTAATGTGGCTTTGTGCAATTTTGTGCATGAATGTATGTCCTAATATGAGTGTGTATTCATGTGTGCTTGTGTGAGTCTGAGTTTGTAAATGTGAGTGTGTGTATGAGTGTGGAGGGTGTCTGAGTGTATTTGAGTTTGTGTATGAGTATAGTATGTGTCTCTCTCTGTCTGAATGCATACACATGTGTGGTTGTATATGACTGTTTTGTAAGAGTGTGTGAACATATGTGTTTTGTGTCTGAGCATATGTGAGTTTGAGTATGTGTAAGTATGTGAGAGTAGACACGAGAGCTAGGCTGGAGGCCAGTAAACCCTAGCAATCCTCCTGTATCCACCCACTACGGTACCAGATCCAGGCTTTTTACAGGGTGCTAGAACTCAACCCCAGGCCCTCCTCCTTGAGCAGCAAGCAAGCTTACCCATGAGCCATCTCTCCAGCTTGTCCTTATCTACCTTGACTTGGGACCCCTAAGAAGCAAATCTTGGAACAAGGATGAGTGTGTGGTTTGTGGGTGGATTCCAGGAAGCACTGGCCATAGAGGGGAAGGCAAGATAGTAGAGCTCAGGCACTTTGATTAGTAGGGTTTTGAGGAAAATGCAGCTGATTTCTCCTGACTGAAACATCTCCCCAGTCCCTAATGCTTCCTATGTTTCCTTTTTAGCTGAAAAACTTGAGGCATCTTCAGTGACCCCCATTAAAACATTTAACCGCAACTTCCTTCTCCAAGGCTCCTCCACAAACAGGCCTACAGAACGGACAAACAACACCAAGGATTTGATGGTAAAGTCATCTTCTTAACACCCATCCCTCACACGATGGTCCCTGCTTGATGGTAAAGCCATCATCTTAATGCCCATCTCTCATGCCATGATCCCTCCATTCTGTGGTCTTTCTTTCTGTATTACCCAAGAAGCATCCTTCTGGCCTTTTGTAGATTTAAGGGAAAGGTGACTGGGAGAGGTAAGTACCCCCTGCCTGACATCATTAACCTCTAATCTATGAGTTTATCATCTCAGCTCTGACATGTCTCCTTGTAGGAACCAGATTTGATAGACGAGAAACCCATGTGCTAGGTGTGTGTAGGTCTGGTTAAGGTGTAAGAAATTTTATTCTGGTTTTGACCTGTATTCTTTTGTAAATTCATGTTAACCATGAATGCCATTTTTCTACAGAGACAGCAGTAGACAATATTCACAGACTCTAGGGACCTCATAGAGCTAGATAATGAATTGTTTGCTTTAAAAATAGCATTTTCAGCTAAGTATGGTGGCTCGAGTCTGTAATCTCATCATTAGGGTGGCTAAGACAGAAGGATTGCTGCAAGTCTGAGGCCAGCCTGGTCTACACAGCAAACACCAACCAACTAATAATATCTGCATCAGAATTTCAGTGAATCCTCAATACTACTGGCACAGGAGGAGATGATCCAGCACAGCTGTGTCCACAACACCTGCCATGCTGGTGGCAGATAATGTGTGGGATGGCACGAGGGAAGGAGGAATACCCACCTGCTGCCTTTTAAGCATCTTTTTCCTGTCACTTCCTCTTCCTCCCTGTTCTTGTCCACACTGAGCACAGGTGATGTCATCATGTGGCACAGCCTTTGAACAGCACATTACTGTCTTGGGCACTGCACAGTACCAGAAATCTCCACTGCTTTTCCTTCACTGGTCAGCCATTACCCCTGACCTCTCAAAGTTTGATCAACTTGCTCCTGGCCATAACTCCAAAGAGCTAAAAAATATCTCACACTTAAGACAGACCAGTAGGGTCAGGAAAAAAAATAGATTATAAATAAGATAAATCACCTTCTATAGTGACAAAACATAGTCGGGTGGAGCTGTAGAGAAGACCCATAAGAAGATTGTTCAGTGGGTAAGGGGTGAGGCTTGTACTTGGTTTTGTTTTTAATATATATTTTATTGAATTTTTGTGCATTTCATACAATGCACCTTAATCATATTTAGACCTCCTCCCCTACCTGCATCCCTCCTAGCACTCCCACCGGATGTCATGCATTCTGTCATATATGTTTAAAGCCTATCGCAAGTTCATGTACCCGGATGTCCCTCATTGTAAGATCATCCACTGAAGCCTATTCAGCCTATCTAGCATCACTCCCTTAAAGAAAACCAACTCTCCCTCATCCAGCAGCAATCAGCTGCCAATAGTTCCTTGACTAAGGTTGGGGCTTGCTGCCCATTTCCCCCATTCTATGCTGGGTTTTTGTCTGGTTTGAGCTTGCATGGGTCTTGTGCATGCTGTTACCATTGCTGTAAGTTCATATAAGCAAGTTCCCAGAAGCCTGGAAAACTTTGTTTCCTTGTGGTCATCCACCACCCCAGCTCTTACAATCCCCTCTTCTGCAATGACCCCTGAGCCCTGGGTGGGTGAGGTTTAATACAGGAGTCCTCTCCAGGGACACGTACTCTGCAGTCTGTTGTTCTCTGCACTTTGGCCAGTGTGGCCTTCTGTGTGCATTGCCCTCTGTTGCATGAGGAAGCTTCACTGGTGAGAGTCGAGAGATGCATTAGTCTTCTCTCCTCCCCTTGTTCCACTGTGTTCTGTGAGCCTTGGGTGTTCCATTGAAGATGTGTCACTTAGGGCTGGGCATCTCACAGACATATATTCTCTATGTGTGACCAGTGTGGAATTCTGTAATTGTCTCCATCTGTTACAAAAAAAAAGCTTCTTTGTTGAGTGGTGACAGGAATACATGTTTGCAAATTTCATGATGGAGCTTGTACTTCAGAGTGATAGAAATGTATAGGAACTCTTTCTCATCACTATAAATAAATACTGGGCAGAAGAAACTTAAGGGAGGAGGGACTTATTTTATCTCAGTTTCACTGCAGAGAAGGTATAGTGGTTGGTACTCATAGTGACAGGAGTGTCTCCTGTCCAAGGTGGCGAGAGCCTGAAGTGGCATGCTCACATTTCAGCAGCCTTTAATCCAGCTCTTGAGAAGCAGAGGCAGGCAGAGTTCTGTGAGTCAAGGCCAGCCTGGTCGATACAGCAAAGTCCAGGCCAGCCAGGGCTATATAGTGAAATGCTGTCTCAAAAAAGTTAAAAAGAAAGAAAGCAAACAGAACTCAGGCCAGGCATGGGAGGGTAGTGTCTATAACCCTAAGGCCTACCTCCCCCATGGTGACCCACTGCCGCCTGCTGTACCACACCTCCTAAAGGTTCCACAGCCTCCTAAACAACACCACCAACTCGAAAACAGGCACATTTAAGCACATGATCCTGAAGGGACTTTGCACATTTGAACCATAACAAAACTAGATAGATGTAAGGCCTTGTGAACATACTAAATGCCCCTGGACTAATTTATGTTATATGATTTTACTTCAGTAAATTCTTCTTAGTGAAAGACAAAAATCAGGCACCTTAGGGTTGATGATACAGGTCAGTAGTAGGGCATTTACTTAGTATGGGAGAGGCCCTCATTTCAATCCCCAGGACCTCAAAAACAAATAAGTAAACGAATTACTTTAAAGTAACATAGAGGAGAGATGTCCAGCAGTTAAGTGCACATACTTCTCTTGTAAGAGGATCCAAGTTCAGTTCCCAGCACGCACACTGGATGGCTTATAACCCTCTGTAATGTAATTGCTCCAGGGAATCTAGTGTCCTCTTCTAGCTCTATGGGCACCTACACTCAAATGTACTTCCCCACCTACAAACACACACACACACACACACACACACACACACACACACGGTAATTTAAAATAAAAATAAATGGAAGAAAAGAAGTAACCTAGGTTAAAAATGAAAGCATGTGTGTAGGTACTAAACAAATAAAAAACAAATGAGGGGCAGAAATACTATTTTCAAAGTAGGATTCAAGGCAAGCAGCATTCAGAGCAAACACGACAGAAGAGTGTTCTGATTTGGATGGAAGGGAGTGTGGAGCCTGTCTTGATTTGGCACACAGTGGAAGAACAGTTTGCTGTGTTATGGTTGGCGACTTTAGAACTCCCTTATCAGCCTTTGGCAGACCAAGTGTCCCAGAAATTAATACCAATTAGTGAACTGAGTAGTTGATTATTGGGCTTTGATTAAGGTATGTAACTTCATACAGTACAGATAATTTGATTAAGGTATCTAACTTCATACAGTACAGATAATTTACTCTCTAAGATCCAGTGGGCCCTTGATAAACATTGATTTTTATCCCAAACTAAAAAGAAAACCTCAATAAATTCCAAAAGATAGAAAGTGGCAAACCATCTGCTGTGACCACTTTGCCAGACATAACAGTTTTCAGGGTAGCTGGTGACTGTGCTCCATCTCGCCTCACTCAGGAGCCTGCTCTGGAGTCAGCTGTGATGTACTAACACCACAGAATCCACAGCCAGTGACCCACTGCCTCCGGCCGTACACGACAGTGCCTTGACCCAACAGCCATGTGAGGATTTCCACTCGAGGAGAGGGCCTGGGGAGGCCACGGTGCACCGCTGCACGGGGCTGTCCTGATACCTCACCCAGAAAGCAGTCTCAGATATCAGCGCTGAGGTCTCGCCCACTCTCTGCCTTAGGCTCCCAGGGGAATCCGAGACTGAACACCTGGACGCTGGCTTCCAGCAGCAGAGCTCCACGTTCAAAAGATGCATGGTGTCCCTGTTTAATTTGCTACTGTGCACTGTGTTTATGATGTCTTTCTGTTTTCATCCCTTTGATTCAACTAGAACACCAGGTCAAGAGTTGGTTTAATGGAAAATTGTTGGAGGGGAAGGAAGGTGGGGGTCATTACCAGATGTTTCATCTTGCTTACTCACATCCCATAAGCACCTTAATCTTACAGATGCTAAGGGAAAGAGGGAAAATATCCTTTAATTGGGAATCACTCAACCACCACCTCCCCCACTAAGTTCCCATCCACCATATTGCCAGTCATCCCCATCACTTGCCAATCGCCAGCCACAGAGTGGAAAACTCTGATCCACCCATACCATACCCAGGTCTATCTGAAACCATATCTCATCCTGAACTTGGGGTTCTTGCATGGACTTACTGAGAGTGTCTTCATTCTCAGGGGGCGAGGCCTGAGGGAGGCTACCATCAGTCTAACTTTAGGGCACTGTTCAGGATCCACAGGACATGGCTTAGCCATGACCAATACTGAAATGAGATTTGGGTTAAATGAACTATTGAAAAATAGAACCGCAGGAGAAAATTTTTTCCATCCTCCAAAATTTATTTGCCAATGAATTTAGTGAAATAATAGCAAGAGGGTGAAAACCGTTAGGGTGAAAACCTTAGAGAAAATGTGAATCTAACAGACACAAGAGGTGACCCTTACTCCATGTTTGCAGTCTGGAATGCATGAGTGTTTAGAGTGTATTTATGCAGCAAATGGACTGAGACTCAGCTCTACTCATTGGGGACTAGCAACACATTTTTAATGTTGGCTCCTCAGGTTTTCTGAATCGGGGGTGGGGGGATAGGGGTATAGTTAGAAGGCAAAGGAGGGAGGTGATGGGAGCAGGAGGATGGGTGTCTCTTAGGTTCTGGCTCCCCTTTTCATCCTTCTAACCACCTTTCTGATAGGCATATAGAATCAATAACCAATAATGAAGGCCAAACCAGTGAACACATGGAAGCCACAGCTGTGAGCTAGTTGTAACCGGAAAGTCTCCTGAAAGCCCAGCTCTGTTTAAACCTCGGTGTCCTCTTACTGCTGTGTGCATTCCCAGAGTTGATTTAACTGCCTTCCTGTGCTGTGTGATGGCTCCCGATGGAGGTCTGCCTATCTTCCTATAATGCTCCTGCTGATGCCGTGTGCACGTGCGCGTGGGTGTGTGTGTGTGTGTGTGTGTGTGTGTGTGTGTGTGTGTGTTCCTATAGAAAGAACTCCTGGAAAATAAACTTTTGGCATTTTATCCTGTTGGTGTGGTTCAAATAAAAAGAAATTAAAAACACAACAACAAAAGATCAGACTTCCAAATAGAATGTTTTCTTTAAGAGGCATGAAACTATTGTTGTTACAGTGTTAAAATACTCAATTTTCTTTTGACAAAAACCTGTACTGTGTAAGCCTTGCAAAAACAAACAGAAGAAGAAAAAACCTGTTCTATGGCATTTGAATTTTTATAAGGGTTCCCTTGTGCCAAATAAGTACAAAGATTTAATTTACTATTAAAAAACCATATGCATATGTTATAGTTCCAGAAAATTATTTTGTCATCCAGTGATTTTGATCTTTAGTGTCAATATTTATATTTCGATTAATTTTTATAACTGAAAATATTTTGATGGTTTAAGAAAATGAGAAAAGGACAATATCTCCGAAGACATCTCAAAGTTGTGCTTTCTTCATGCCGTATGCACTTTGCCAAGAACACTGTCAAGAGAATGGCCAAGAAGTAAACTTCATTTATGAAAATAGTTTGTGTGTGTGTGATTTTCTTTTTTTACTTACTTTCATCAGTGGAGTCTAGGAATAAAATAGGAGGTAAAGGAGCCACATGGCTGGTGGTTGGAGGGGCCGTGATCCAAAGCCCTTTGTCCCCACCCTCCTTCCACTTATGCCACCCATGGCTCTGGTACATGCTTTTAATGCAGGGAGGTGGGCCCAGGGATATTTGAACAGAATCTAGAGACTCTGATATGTGTGTGTGTGTGCGCGCATGTGTGCATGTGCATGTGCGTGCACGCATATGTGCGCGTGCACGCGTGCAGATGGAGGCCAGAGATCAATGTCAGGTGCTTTGCTTAGTTGCTCACCACCTTATTTTTTGAGACAGGGTCTCACACTGAATCTGGAGTGCATTGATTGAGCTAGACTGGCTGGCCAGCAGGCTCCAGGGATCTGTCTGCTTGTCTCTGCCTCCCCTGTGCTTGGATTACAGGTGTGCAGTACCATACCCTACCTTTGTTCTTTTTTAAGTTGGGTGCAGGGGAGCCAAATCCAGATCCTCATGCTTGCACAAGTGCTTTTCTTGTGGATCCATCTCCCCAGCTCCCGTAGACAGTTTGACGAGAAGGGTTCTGCTCCTTGCTGATAGTAGCCAGAGACCAAGCATTCTGCTGGACACTCTGCATTGCAAGAGGCAACACCCACAGCAAAGAGCTGTCCAGCACAGAACGTCCATAATTTTGAGGCTAGGAACCATGAGTTGGTTAGAGCCTGGAGGTAAACCCAGACATCAGTGAAGAGGCCTGTGCCATCCTCCTTGGGAACCGTGCAGAGCCAGAAGTAACAACAGTCACTCTCCCATCTATTTACAGGCTCAGGAAGTTGTTGCATCCTGGTCTGCTCAGGACACTCAAGCCAGACACTGGCCCCTGTCAGCCACAGATAGGAAAAGAAATCCTGCACTAACCTAAAATAAACAAGTGTATGAAAATTTTCACACCCAACAGCCTGTGCACCTGCAGGCTGTCAAGTAGTGTTGTGGTACAGCTGTTTCCTCGATGTATTAGTTTGCTTTCTCTTGCTGATAAACACCATGACCAAAACCAACTTAGGGAGGAAAAGGTTTATTTTATATTGCAGCTTATATAGTATATCACTAGGGGTAGCCAAAGCAGGAACCCAAGGCAGGGACCTGGAACAGAAACCGAGGCAGAGACTTGGAGGAACGCTGCTTACTGGCTTGCTCCCAGGCGCACGTTCAGCTACTTTTCTTATACAACCAACCCAAGACCACCCTAGCTGACACCACCCACAGTGGGCTGGACCCTCGTACATCAATCATCAATTAAGAAAATGCCTCACAGGCATGGTCAGAGGCCAATCTGATGGAGGAAATTCCTCAACTGAGCTTCCTGCTTCCCAAATGACTCTAGTTTGTGTCAAGTTGACAAAGCCAACCAGCACACTCATGATTGAATCTTCCTTGAGGGGGCAACAGGGAGGCTCACAAGAAACTTACAAGACCCAGGAAGGTCAGTGGACACACAGGGCCCCTCCCCTCAGGTTATAAAAGCAGTAAACACTTTCTGGAGGAGAGGAAACTTCTGAGGAGCTGCCTGCAAGTTGTACAGGATGCTCTCTTCAGATGTCACCCATGCTGGACTGGGACTTTTTGGTGGTGTACCTGCTTTGAGTCATCTATGCTTCTGTAAATAATGCATCACTCATGTCCCAGTAAGTGTTCCTAGTAAACTCATTGGTTCATCAAGCTGGATTTGAATAGAATCATGTCTTTGGTCTGTCATCACCCTATCTGAGGGGAACAGAGATACGCTCCTCAGAAAAAGTCATGCAACAGATGTTCTCACTTAGATATGCATTCCATCACCTGGTGTGCTGGCCCAAACTGGCTCTACCCTGGTGCTTCTCATTTGCATCTCTAACCGCATCTCAGTGTGGTGCTGATGTCACTGATCCAGGGACCCTGCTTTTAGGACCACTGATGGAGGAGGAAAAGGAAAGGCCCTAACTAACTTCCAAGGCCTTATCTATACCTGAGACACAATAGGTCTAAAAAAAAAAAAAACTCCTGCAGGTGATGTTCACTTACCCTGATGCTCCTTTCATACAGGGAAACTGATAGCTGGAGAACCTAAGAATAGGGTTTTAATCATGCTCCACCAGACCAGCCCTTTGCTCCCCACACCTAACTGCACTGCTACAAAAAGGATTGGAAACCCAGCCAAATACTAGCTTCTGTGCCCACCTATAAGGCAGGTAATATTTCAGGAAGCTTCAAGAATAACCAGGGTACTCAGGCCCATCGTGAGCCATGGCCAGCAATGTCAGGGATAAATTTTTGCCCAACTGTTGATGGTGGAAACATTGAAGGGATGGGTTTGGGGGCATTCGCTTATGAAAGCCCACGTGACAGATGTTGCTGGAGTAAAGGCACAGAGCATGTGAGCGTCATTGAATCACACACAACATTGAGAAAAACAAGGTGGGGAGATGTGGGAATCCATCAAGCCCAAGAGATTGCTGGGGCCCCTGGATTTGTGATTCAAATACTATGCCTAGGAAGAAGTTGGGCAGGGAGCCCATTTGGAAACAAGGTAACAGAGGAAGGGCAACTTCTGTCACTAAATGTAAGTCATGTTCCAGGCACTGCTGAGTCTTAATACCACACAGCAATGAATCTTTACAGCAACAGTGAGATAGGTCACAGCAACCCCATTTATGTGTGTGTGTTTGTGCCACCTGAGTGCGGGTGCCTGCAGAGGACAGAAAAGGGTGTCAAATCCCACCAGAGCTAAAGTTACAGGTGGTTGTCAGCCACCCAAATGAGTGCTGGACCCAAACTCGGGATCTTTGTCAGAGCAGTACTGGTTCTTAACCACTGGGCCATCTCTCCAGCCTCATAGTCACTTGTTGTCAAATATCATGCACTGTACTGTGCCTGCATTATATTTTTAGTATTACATTTATTTCTTTTGTGTGTATGTCTGTGGGCAGGTACAGAGGACAACTTGGAGTCTGTTCTCTCCTTCTGTCATGTGGATTCCAGGGACTGAACTTGGGTTGTCAGGTTTGGCAGCAAACACCTTCACACACTGAGCATCTTGCCAGCCTTTGTGCTGAATTCTTCCACGAGTGGCCATTCATGTCTGTACACACCAGCATCACCAAATACAGGAATGTCACTATGAAGGCTACACTGAGATAAGTGATAGGAATTCTTCAGCTCCACTGCAGTGTTGTGGAATCACTATTGTATATGTAGCCCAATGCTGACCACACTGTTAATATGCAGGACATGACTATTATTGTCTAACCTAAACTCCAAGGCAGTTAGGAAAGTGCTCCAGGAATAGTTCCTCCTATTCCCGGTGCTCTCTCCTTTCTGGTGTTAACACCTACAGCAGCTGACGATTTAATTATGTATCTGTGTGTGGGTGTGTGCAAGTGAGTGAAGGTGCGCACAGAGGCCAGAAGATGTTGGAGCCCTTGAAAATAGAGTTACAGACAGTTATAAGCCACTGATGTAGGTGCTGAGGTCTGAACCCAGGTCCACTGAAAAATGTTTGCAGTCTTAACAGCTCAGACATCTCTCCAGACCCAGATCTTGAGTTTTTGATGCCTTAAGAAAAATCGAGGTCCCTGGGATAAATCTCATTGTCCCTAGCCCTCAGTAAACTTTATACTGCCATTACTATGCCTGTCATGGTAGCATTTGCTTAATGTGTTTGTCAGCCTTCCATCACTACAGCAAAATGCTTGACATAGTCAATTGAAAATCAGGAAGAGGTTTATTTTGGCTCACAATTTCAGATGTTTCAAGACATGGTGGCCTGTGGCTTGGGACCTGTGATGAATCAGAGCATGAGGGTGGGAATGCATCTGAAAGGAAGCTACTCACTTCATGGTAGCCAGGAAACACAGAGGGGAGGAAGGGCCAAGGACATGATATTACCTTCAAATCCACACTTCCAATGACCTAACTTCTTCTACTAGGCACCTAAGGGTTCCACAGTCTCTCAACAGCAACATAGGCTGGGCACTCAACTAAGCCTTCAATACAAAGCCTTTGGGGGACATGTGAGATCCAAACTGAAGCACTAATCACTACTTACCAAGCTAAGGTTTAAATGTCCAGGACACTTCAGGGGTGGGAAAGGGGAGCAGAGAAAACTGTCATTAGGCACTCTGGCAGGAATCCTTGACAAGAATCCCTAGCTTCCCCATCCTTTCACTCCACACACCCATTTCTACAAAATAGAGAAACGCACAAGACAAGTAACAAAGGGCGAGGGTCAGGGAGATGACTCAATAAGTAAAAGTGCTTGCCGTGCAAGTCTGGTGACCTAAATTCAACTCCTAGAACACAGGTAAGAGGCCAGATGTGGTAGTACACATCTGTAATCCCAGTACTTCTCTAGCAAGACAGGAGAATCACCCTCAAACAATAAGAAAGACCCTGCCTCAACAAGGTGAAAGGTAAAAGTCGACCCCCGAAAGATGTTCTTTGACCTTGACATGTATGGTGTGGTATACATGAAGGGAGGGAGGGAGGGAGGGAGGAAGGAAGGGAGGGAGGGAGGAAGGGAAAGAGAAAGAAAGAAAGAAAGAAAGAAAGAGAGAGAGAAAGAAAGAAAGAAAGAAAGAAAGAAAGAAAGAA